AGTTAAGACTCTGGCAGCAGCATTCAAAAGCAGAAAATTTAGGGTCATCCAGGTTTTTATGTCTTTAAGATGTGCCTGTAGTCTAAGTAACTGATTGGATTCATTGGGTTTCATGGACAAATATAACTGTGTGTCATCAGCATAACAATGAAAATGTATCCCATGCTGTTTAATAACTTTACCTAATGGAAGCATATATTACGTAAAGACTATTGGTCCAAGCACTGAACCTTGAGGAACTCCATGACTAACTTTGGTGTATGATGAAGAGTCCAAACTGGAATGATTTAAACCAATTTAGAGCCATTCCTGTAATTCCTACATCATATTCAAGTCTCTGTAGTACAATATGATCAGCTGTATTAGATGCAGCACTGAGGTCTAATTCAATTCAATTCAATTCATCCATCCATCCATCCATCCATTTTCTTTTACCCGTTTATTCCATTTTGGGTCACGGGGGTCGCTGGTGCCCATGTCCAGCAATCACTGTGCGAGGGGCGGGGTACACCCTGGACAGGTCGCAAGTCCATCACAGGGCCACATAGAGACAAACGAGACAAACAAACATTCACTCTCTCACTCACACCTAGGGACAATTTAGAGTTACCAATCAGCCTAACATGCATGTTTTTGGTCTGTGGGAGGAAACCGGAGCACCCGGAGAAAACCCACGCATGCACGGAGAGAACATGCAAACTCCACCCAGAAAGGCCCCTGGACTGGGGTTTGAACCAGGGACCTGCTCGCTGAGAGGCAGCAGCTCTACCAGTTGCGCCACCGTGCTGCCTCAATTCAATTCAAAAATACTTTATTAATCCCAAAGGGAAATTATTTGTTGTTGTAACTTGTTATCCTCATTCCATTAAGAGATGTTATAGATACTGATGGCTGTAGACAGGAAGGATCTCTTGTAAAGGTCCATCCCACAGTGGATCCTAAGAAACTGGCTGCAGATGCCGTCTGATCTGTCCACCCAGACTCGGCTGGCCTCTGTAGGACCGCCTGAATGCCGTGCAGAACTCCTCCCAGCAGCCTGCCGAGCTCCTCGTCACTGTGGACAGCTAACTGTAGGTGCCGAGGGACGATCCTGTCCTTCCACTGTCATGAGCCGTGTTTCCAGCTAGTTCCAGGATCTCAGTGGTCAGGCACTCGAGCACAGCCGGCAGGTAGATGAGAATGCATCCACAGAACATCCTTTTCAACTCATCTGAGATTTGGGGCTGTAGCTGAGATATTATTGGAGCTTTTGAGATGTTAATCAGCTGCTGGTTGTAGAAAACTGCCTTGTTGCCATGGTTACACATCATAACAAATGTCCAAAACTAAAAAAGTTTCAGTAAAAATCCTTCCAGCTGCACAGCATCCGATACCAGAGGAAACCATCATCCAAAAATGTGATTTGTATCCAGAAAAAGAGGAATTAAAGTTGCCAAAAGCAAAATCCAACATGCAGCCACCTTGAACGGCAAAATAAAGACCAACAGGACCAGTGTAGACACAAGTCCATTATCAGAGGCCATGAGAATATCATTAGTAACTTTCATCAGTGCAGATTCAGTGCTGTGGTGAGATCTAAACACTGACTGAAGCTCAGACTGATTATTTTTTTTGCAGATGATCATGTAACTGACCTGCAACTATTTTCTCTAGAATTTTTGAGATGAAAATTAGATTAGCTATAGGTCTATAATTCGCTAGGATTCCTGAGTCAAGATTATTTTTCTTAAGTAAAGGCTAAATTACAGCAATATTAAAGCTTTGTGATACGTAACCATTTATTAGAGACAAATTAAGCAGATCCAAGACATGGTTATCACCGGTAATTAAGGAAAATACATCTTTGAACAGTCTGGTTGGGATGGGATCTCACAGACATGTGGGAGGTTTGGATGAAGATATTATTTTTGACAATTCAAAGAGCTCAACAGGACAAAAACAGTCCAAACATAAATCAGGTGCTAGTGACATTTTTAAAGTTGTCTCGTCGACTCCTTGTGCTTTAGTCTCCACTACAACCGACGCACGTCATCGTCCCAGAACCAGAGGCGATATGCAATGCAACTTTAATCAGCCAGTTCAGGCAAACCAGTTACTGCCTGCTGGTGAAGGGTGAAACAGCAGTAATCGTGTCTGTATGTGTCTGCCATCTTGCTGTGATGGAGAATCTTGTTCATTCCAGTGATGCCGTCTAGGCCTTTAGTAGGGCCACCAGTGGTGGTAAGAGACAATGACCCTAAGACTAAAGTGTGGACGTTGTGTAAGATGACATTGTCAGTAAAGGCGGATGAAGGCTGCAACAGAAACTCTTGCCTCCCCAGTCATTGTGATCCTCATGCCACTGGAGTCAGGCCCCTTTCTGCCAAGGACCACGTGGTGGCTGCAGTGGCATCAGTTTCCCCACGCTCAAAGACGTCACGCAGTGGTGTTATCTGTATTACACCCCAGATATTAAAAGTCCTGTGGCAATCAGGAGGTGGCTACAGGCCAGTGTAGTCTGGAAGTTCCCAGCTGTGAGCGAGCACATGAGCGGTGGGTGTCAGATTCAGTCGTCAGCTCTTAGACTGAGACAGAAACAGCTTCTTGCCTGTTGCACCGATGACCCCGATCACCCCAGTACAGGAAGGAGGTTACACAGGGTATACCTTAAACTTAGCCTGCCTCTATAAACCTGCCTGGACTATCGCATCCAGAAGATCAGTGCCTATGAGGTCAGAATCACCAGCAGTGCACTTGAGATGAACCATCTGCAATGTTTACAAAATATTCCCAAGATAGATTTGGAGGATCAGTACCCCAACTTCTGCATTTTAGAGGAGAACAGCACCTCCTCTAATAGGACCTCTTCTTATCGGGGGAGTCATTGTAGCATTAACTCCAGAGCTAATACACACACACACACATACATATATATATATATATATATATGTGTGTGTGTGTGTGTGTGTGTGTGTGTGTATATGTGGCAGAAGCTCCAGAACTAATGCATTAAACATCACAAGGTAGTCAAGTTTGATCATTTCGACCCATATATTGTGCATAAGAACTAATGCAATATATAACTTGATTGTCACATGTTATAACCTTTTAGCATCGACTCCTTGTGCTTTAGTCTCCACTACAACCGACGCACGTCATCGTCCCAGAATGCATTGTGCCTGTAAAATAATGGCGACGTCCTTAGATAAAAAAAAAGTAACATATATAATTTTTCTAAGTAATTAGAAGCTTTCATGTGTCACAATTAACAACTCGAGAAATAGCAACATATTAGAGCCAATCAATGTGGTGTGGTAGTAGCTGAGAGTCATCCCCATCACAGACACCTGAGCCCTATCTCACAACCAAATCACATGCTATCATCTATCTATCTATCTATCTATCTATCTATCTATCTATCTATCTATC